TTCCCCGTTCCTCGTTCCCCGTTACCAGTTTTAGTAACATCCTCTTTAGAGATGTCATATTAAGCAAAACAGTCGAGTAAAGAAATAACTTAACGCACGAGCGATCAACGGGTGAAAAGTACATTCAAAGATGAGCGCTAAATGGAGTTTTCTTTGTTACGGGCATGATCACGTGGATATTTTGGGAATTGTCATTGGCTTGTAAAGAGAATCCGCTGGATTACCTGATTGCAGTCTTACGAGAACGCGCAAAGTTCGGCTGATTGACGATGTTGACGATGGTTTACCTTGGATCCCATGTTCTGAAGATGATCTAAATAATGATGTGAACTCACTCTACGTAGAAATAATCGGGAAGAATCGAACATACTACAAATGTAAGATTTGCGGCCGAAAGCTGACGAGGAAACAAAGACTCGAAGCCCTGACTTGAGTTGTGTTCACGGCAAAGGCGAGAAGCAACCGAAGGCAATCACAATTTGAATGTGATTACAAACGTGTTTTACCCTCATTATTATGACAGATGGATACCACCTTAGGAAGTATAAGAGCTACCTAGATGATCATAGTGTACCAGTACCCAAATTAACGAAATTGGATCGTAACAAGCGTTCAGCGACACAATCCAACACAGTCATCTCGATTTCTTAGTCTTTCGCTTCCACTGAGCTAGCAGCGGTGCCAACAGAGTCAAGTGCGTCTCAGAACGAAGAAACATTAGTACAAGAGAAGGAAGCGATTGTAATACGTTAGAATTCGTTACGCTTCATAGTAAGCCTAATATTCCCATTTCTTCTGTGCGAAATAATTAAACAGCAAGTCTTTATTTTGCCACTATCAAATAAAATATATTGCGTTACAACTTCTACAATGTTGTAACTTTGACGAAAAGACTTGATATTGGACGAATGGACCTGAGACTTTAGACGAAAAGACGGATACCTTTGATTCCAGTGAAACCTTCGCTAACTCATTTGATTCTTTTGCTATTTTTAGTTCGCGGAACGACCCGCATCGAAATATACGCTCATCACACACGCCATCTTTTAGAGTGGGTCTACCGCGAACGGTGTGTGGGTTTGTATGTTTGAGCGTAGAAAAGATGACAATTTGTCGTATCCGCCCTCTTCGAAATCGTGGGAAGAAGATCGCGCCTTTATTACTTGTATGCGGTATTCCCCATTGCACGTGACTTAGCTTTGAGGAGAAATACGGGGGTAAACCTATAGTCGGTCGCCTGACTAATAATAATCTTTCTTTCGGTCTAATGTTTAGGGTCCAAGTTGGCCGACATTCTGAGAGATAATCCAGAGTTTATAGAGCAGTTGAGTCTGTGCTTGGACCGGGATATGAGATTAGCACCTAATTGGAAACATTTAGCATCAAAACTGGAAGTTCACGTGGATATCATCAGACGACTAGAACAGTACAGTGACTTCAGTCCTACCATTCGATTGTTTGATTTTCTTGAAATCTCGAAACCAGATTTGACGATTAAAGAACTGAAGGAAACCATGTTGGAGATTGGGAGAAACGACCTATTCAGTTTACTGACTACAAAAGGTAAGAAACGATCATCATAGTCCAATGTAAAGCTATTCCATCTGTGTTATCAGAAGTAAAATAAAGGTCAATTTCAATGGCAAGTTGAAAATATTTTGGGCTATTAAGGCCGTGACAGCTGTTCAGCGGTTTGCATTGTATTCTTTTTCTATATTAGCCCAAACTCTGGTCAGCTGTCCAAACTGCAAGAATTGTGGACAGCTTACAACTTCTCTTTGAAGGGGTAATCCTTTAGTTGATTAGTTCGGTCTTTACTCTTCCATTTTATTTTAGGAAGTACACGCGCTATGTGAAATAGTGAATGGAAGTTAACTACAACATATTTTGTTGGTTTTAAATCATTTTTTAGGTTTTTTTGGGTTATGATAAATGTTTTCCTCTGCGTACAATTCCACTCTATCTGATTTGCATCATTGTTAGGTGATTGCACAGACTCTAAGAAAGTTGTTGACGTAATCACTTCACGAAGTATTGAAGCTCCATTACCCAGAGCTGGTCTTTTGGACGAACTTGCCTTGGCACTGGATAAAAAGTCACTGGTCTTGTCAAACTGGTTTACCTTGGCGTTAAAACTGGGCGTGCCAAGAAAGACATGCTGGACGTTTGAAAGACAATCTAACGAAAATCCGACCGGCCGACTGTTCCAGTATTTGGCCACCAGTCGCCCGCAGCTGACTCTTAAAAGTTTGACGGAAGCTCTCGATTCCATTGAGAGAAGAGATCTAATGAACTTTTTTAAAAAAGAGAAAGTAGATGGTAACATTTTAACCATCCTCGGAGACCCAGGGGCTGTGGGTCGATTTCAAGTTAGGGCATGAAGAGCCCCTGGGGACATTGTCTTACAAGACTAGTTCCAAACGGTCGCAGTCGTTTTGCCATCTGATTGGTGCCAGAAAATCTTTGTGTTTTTCTGCCCAATCAGAGTGAAGTGTGCTTT